TCGTTCTCAAATAATGGACCCCCACTCAGTATCCGCGTAGCTGGCAATGGACTTGAATTGTTTCTTTTCCAGTGATTCCAACCTCGTAGCCAGAGAATTTAGGGTTGTATTTACGAGTGGCGGGGTATTCTGCAATTACTCCGCCTAAGTACATGTACCCCAGGTGTGTGTGCATGCTGGTATGCGTAAGGCTAGTGCGTGCTGTGGTGTTCAGTGATGCTGCACCTGCTTTGACCGTGCTGGCATGCTGAAACTAAAAATAAACAGTCCTGATAGCTCCCTGGTATTACAGTGCCCACTGCATACACTGCTATTATCTAAATCACAAAGGACAATCCCACAAGACACATCCATGACTTTGTTGGTTATTGTGTGCCATGTTACACCACGGCTACAATGTATGTGTACGCACAATTTATCATCATGGAGCAAGGAACTTTTAATCCTCGCTCTATGAAATACATTGTATACCATACATACAATGTACCAGTACATTTGGTACCTTTCATAGATTTCTGTAGAAAGAGGTGCCTGGACATTCTGTTTGTTGCCTGATTCCTTTCAACCAGATGTTTGAAATAGGCTAAGTAAACAATCCAAAACATGAAATTTTCGGGGATTTCAGGACCTATAGTGCCCCTTTTAGCATGCATAGTGCAAGCACTGTACACATGGGGTCAAGGGTGAATCTACATGCAGTGCTACTGTTAGGATCTGTTTTGCGAAACTTTCCTGCACCTTTTCAATATAAAAAGCTAATATTTTCAGGCTCAGCTATCATTTAAAGGGAATATACAGTACATCATTTGCTTTTGCTGTAATTTTCAGAAATGGGTGGAATTGGGGGGTTGGAAATATATACCGGTAGCAAATATAGTCACACTGACTTTTTTGAGGTTTTGGGTTCGAAAATGCTATAAAAACCAAGAAAAACAATCATTTTCCTGTAGTCTGGTTCCCTGACTCCATTTAAGAAGAAACAGAGCAGTTTACATACATTGGGGAATTGTAAGGTCAGGGAACCAGTCTAGCTGGCTTGTACCCGTTCATAGGTGTGTAATCGATTGCAAACAAGTGCGATGGTCAACTAGGGCCAGTATTTGAAAAAAAAGCCAGTTTTTTCCAACGCTGGTCGGCCGATCAGTGTTGGAAATTGATACAAAAATACCACTTTTCTTGAAAATGACAGTATACCAGGTGCCATGATTTTACAGGATGCTTTACACTGTCATTCACTAACAGTCCAGCAAGGTATTTCAAAATGATTTGGTAGTTTTATTTTTTGATGTTTGCAAATGAAAGTATTCCCTTTAAAGGTAATGACAACATTCAAACACAAAACTGTTAGTACTGGCCGGTAGCCTATACATGGTATTCCAATCCGTTACTTCTAGTACTTGATTGTAATACCGTACTACCGGCAGTCTCAAGCGGACTGTGAAATTCTTGCGCCTAGTACATGTATGTGCTGTTATTTCAAGAAAAGAGGAATTATAATTTCTTCGTGATGGTTAGGACAAAACCATTGTGAGAATAAAACCAGCAGTTTGTCCAATACTGCACTCCCAACTAAGCAATAATGTATGTCGTTTGGTTTACAATCGCTTACTGCAGGCATGCAAATGGGAATTTGGACAAAAAACGAGGAAATTCCAAACCACACAAGACTTTGTACAGTGTGCATTCAAAGTGAAATACGGGAAGTCAGTGGATCCGAGGAAAAGTTGCATGCCTGTTATTTGTACCTTCATCATTTTTCATGAGAATTATTTTCCTGGGTGACAAACCCAGGGGATCCTTCCACAAGAGTGTATTTGTAATGCAAGTCAAAACAAATCAATGAATATTTTGAAAGGGAGGACTTACAATGGATACCTTGCATTGTGTTGAGAAAAATTAACAGACTACATTTTCACAATTTTCACAGAAACATACATTTGCACATCTACTGAATACAAATTTGGACAGATTAAGTTTTTTAATGACCTGCTTCAGATTTATTAAATTAAACTTCTTCTTTTTTTTATTGAAGTGGCACAAAATATTATTTTTGCAACTGGTGTCCTTAAAGGGAATGTACATCATTGGCTTTTGCTGTAATTTTCAGAAATTAACTATTTGAGGGGTTAGTATAATAGATCAAATATTGTTTAACTGACATGTTTGAAGTTTTGTGTTCGAAAATGCTGGAAAAATCAAGAAAAACAAAAATGTTTAAATAGTCTGGTTCCCTGACTCCACTAAAGATAACATGAATCAATTTATAGATGTCGGAAAATTGTAACGTAAGGGAACCAGTCTAGCTGGCCTGCACCCGTTCATAAACACGTAACCAATAGCAAACAACATTTGGACTGAAAAAAATTGTAAATTAGGAGCAGTAGTTGAAAAATAGTTAGGTTTTTCCAACGGTGGTCGGCCGACCACCGTTGGAAATGTATACAAAAATACCATTTTCTTGAAAATGACTTCACACAAGGTGCCATAATTTTACAGGATGCTTAAGACTGTCATTTACCAACATCCTAGTAAGGTATTTCGTAAAAACTTGGTAGTTTGTTTCTTCGATGTTTGCAAATGTTGTATTTTCCCTTTAACCTTTACACAATCAGCCAACACTTGAGCCTTGTGTGGAGCAGGCTACCGCCTTTCCATCACCTGTGCAGTCAAATCATGCAAATGGGAGAAGACGCACAATGTGTATTGTACACTGTACATGTATACTACACATGTATTCAGTTCAGTATTGATCCACATGCAACGCCAGCTGCATATTAAAAATATTAAAACACAATAATAACACCATGTGGTCGATTGACAGAATAGATACATCATACTGCTCAATTATTTACACATAAATTACATGTAAACTTCATGTCCAGGACTGTGAACAAGTACAAAGGAGCTTTGTAAATTCACTTACAAGTACTCTTTGTAATGAAAGACCTCCTAGTCAAGATCCCTAGAGAATGTTTCAGGAGGAAACCAACCAAGTACCAAGTAAGAAACTGTATTTTATGCCATGTAAATTACAAGCTCCGTTTTTCTATTTTTGGGTGTTTTTTTTTTAATTAGAACTTTCCATCTTAAAAGGGAATGCACAACACTGGCTTTTGCTGCAATTTTCAGAAAGAAGTGCATTTGGAGGATTTAGGCATGTTTTAGCAAATATTGTTAAACTGACTTGTTTTACGTTTTTGGCTTGTAGTTGCTGAAAAAAACAAGAAAACCAATAATATTCTCGTAGTCTGGTTCCCTGACCCCACTTAGATGAAATGGAGCAATTTATAGACTTTGGGGAATTGTACCGTCAGAGTATCAATTTAGCTGGCTTGTACCCATTCACAGGTGAGTAATCAATTGCAAAGAAAATGTGAAATAACTTAATATAAGAAATAGGCCTATAGAGTAGTTTTTGAAAATAGTCAGTTTTCTCCAGCGCTGGTCGGCCGACCAGCGTTGGAAAAAAACTATTTTTCTTGAAAATGTCAGCACACCAGGAGCCACAATTTTACAGGATGCTTTAGACTGTCATTCCCTAACAATCCAGTAAGGTAATTTGTGATAATTGGATCATTTCGTTTTTTTGATGTTTGCAAACGTTGTATCTTCCCTTTGGGAAAGGTTTGGGAAAATTATTCTAAAGACAGATTTGGAGTTATTGACCCTCCACTTGCCCCATTGAAGTGTTTTTTTCTGCAGCATCATAATAATATAAGTCATGTATTCCAGAAGAAAAAAAAAGAAAAGAATCGGAAAGATGGCCACAATACGAAGGATGTACAACGTAGATATACATTTTGTACAATGTGTATGCCAAAGCAATAAACAGGGTACAAAAACTTAAATAAAAATTGAAAAACTGCAGGACGATATACACAAAAAGTAGGGTGAGGGCATAGAGCTACATTAAATTACTAGAGCGCTAACTTCATGTTTTTGTACAGCTAATTGCATATCTGCGTTTGTATTCCAAACCGGTGCGTTATCAAAGCCAACATGCTCAAAACCGAAACGCACGATCAGCAAATGAGCGTGTTATTTTGCTCCACGCAAACAGCGCAACGCGTGCGCGTATTCGCTGCAGATGCTTTTTGCCGTCACGTTTTTTTAACCGTCAATGACGCGCTTAAGTTGTTTGCGTATGTTCTACTTGCGCGTTGCACGTAAAGCACACTTTCAAAATTCAATCCATCTAATTTCATTTTGTTACTACAAACACGCAAATGAATTCAAAATGTGCGCCCAGGACGGCTTCAAAGTGTCTCCGCGCGCAGAATGAGGAGTTAGCGCTCTAGTAATTTAATATAACTCTAAGACCCCCATTGGTTTGTACACAGTAGGCCAGGAGGTGAGGAAGAAAATTTTGACCATTGGTGACCTCTTAAGCAAAGGGAGGGTTAATAGGCTGTTTTTCAGATGTATATTTTTTGTGAAATTTCCAGATTCAATTTTACACGTTTGCGTATCAAAATTACAACATGAAATTTCACAAAAATTAGACATCTGAAAAAGGCAGCACTTTCTGACTAGCCTATCTGCCTATAAAGAGGGTGAGTATGCTTCTAAAGCAAAAAAAATCCTACAAACTAAGCCTAAATGTGAAAATCAAAATTTGGCAAAGTCGACACGATTTTTGTACATGTGGATGTGTGGCCTATGTTTACGGAGGCAGTCCAGCATGTCCAGTAAATAGGCCACATTTATGGGGCTAGGGCTAGGCATGCCCCTGGATTCCCACCGTCATGACCATTGCTCTGTAACGAAGGAAGGTAAGGGAGTCCAACTGGGCTAGCAAGTGTTCCTTCATCCTCCATGGCCTGACGTACTCGGACAATTTTCATGAAGCCCGCACAGTTTCAGGGGTCGATTAAAAGCACACGCACTGAGTCGTTTATCATTAATCATTATGTACGACAAGACTCAAGTCAAAACTAAGAACAACAATTCAATTTGTTTAGGGGCTACAAATCAAGACAATTTTACGGAAACAAACTCACCACACTCGGCAGTCAGTCCTCAGATGTCGTACGTTGGGAAATACATGCCCGCATGACCTCTCCAGCTGACAAAATAGCCACGAATTTACGGATGTTTATCTCCTAAACTGGCAATAAAACTCCCTAACAAAAGCCATAATAATCACATGCGCATTACAATGCACACAACAAAAACAGACCATGAAAAGCGCAACTGGTCGTCGGCGCACTGACCTGAAAACGCACCGAAGCATCATTGGTCACCAGTGTTGATCCAGGGCAATTCTTCTGGGACACAACAAACCGATTGGGGGCGCTATTGTTGCCAATCATTCTAATATTATGTGACTGTCGACTCTGAGCCTCGTTATTTCGCTTGACGTACAGCTCAGTCCTCGAATATTAAAGTCCATCAAAGAACGCATTTCGGGGAGAATTGAATGTTTTTCCTCCAATATTCGCTTTCTGGGACCAGGAGGGTTTGGAATTTGGAAATGATCGATATCAAATGAGTTGCAAAAAAATCCTACCCTAGTACCTCTTTTTTGTTAAATTCACAACCAAAAGGAAAAAAATGGTCAATTCCCCGCCCTCCACCAGGATCAACCCATTTTCCCACTGGACTCATCCTGCATGGATACTGGCCACTGGCCCATGGCGGGCTCTTTCTGCCCATCCCCCCCCCCCCCCGGGCATTCCCACTGAGAGTCCTGCATGCGCTCCCAATTATCGGTGTATTCAATGGATCATCTGCATCCCATCCGCCGTCGACCCGCCCAGGCGCGGATCCGGGGGGGGGGGGGGTGCGGGGAGGTGGTTCAACCCCCCCCCCCAGCTCTGTCAAACAAAAATGTCCATAGAAATTCATGAAAAAATACAGCCCCCCCCCCCCCCCCTGCTCTGACACCAAACATTTCTTTACTGGTAATAATGTCCGCCTTTAATACGGACAGAGCCAGCTTGACATAGGCTACACTATTTTGTGATAATTATAGTGTTAATCGTCGGATTTGAACAGCACGCCCCTACCTATTGATTTTCGGAGGAGAGGTCATGTGTCCGGAACTTAACCTGTCTCCATTTGAGATTTTTGTTTTGCCGATGAAACCACCCCCCCCCCCCCTGCGAAAATTCCTTGATCCGCCCCTGGACCCTTTCATGTGGATCGTATGCAGGAGCGTGGCCAAAGAGGAGTGGTTCACCGGTACTAGTCTACTCCTCTTTCCCCGACAAAATCGTGTATTGTTGGCAAATATCTGTTAGCATTTTGCTGCCACGAATTGTGCCAAGTGTCCAATCAGATGGTGTTCATATATCGCTCTCCTGCCCCCCCCCTCCCTCTCTGACGTCAATATTGCAGCGGCTGGATGACCTGGAAGAAAATTAGTATTGTCAAAGTTTCCGGCGTCAAACTTGCCTATCGGCCTTGCACTGGCGAAATCATCGGTTTGACCATGATGGGCCTACACGAAAAGACTTGCCGAGTGGGCTTCGACTGATATTAATATTGTCTAAGGATCGGTCGGAGGAAGCGCAAAGATTAGGCTGACCATCTCGAACAACGTGAGTGAACGATTCCGAGCAATCAAAAGCTAGTGGCAACATCAGCATCAGCTGGGAGAGTGATAAAGGCCGAAACAGGGTCATGAATCACTGACAAATTTGCCTGGGTTAATTTTACCAAAAAAAGGGTGAAAACTGGTCCATAACCAATTGTTTGGGTAAGAATTTGTGCTACATTCAACCAAAACTTGTGGTCATTCAAGACCAAATTTAATTTGGTTTTGTGTGACTACAACTTTTGGTTGAATTTAACATAAATTTTAACCCAAACAATTGGTTATTGAACAACCCAAGTTTGGGTAGTTCCAGTTTTCACCCTTTCTGTGGTAAAATTAATCCAGGCAAAATGCCACCCGACCGACACACGACAGCACCTTTCAGCTTCACACACACGGACTGAATTGGTGGATGGATAGCTACCTGAGCTGACTTCATGTCCCTAACACGTCTTCCTTGTGATTGTCCACATGTCTAGAGTGATTAAAATTAGGGCATACCAGTGTTGAAGTGCTCGTACTCGTACTCGAGTATATTTTTTGGTACTTCTACTCGTACTCTTGAAATTACTCGAACTCGTACTTTTGCTCTCAAGAAAACAAAAATACTCGTACTCAGATCGTACCCGTATACTCATGCGTACTCACGGTACTCGCATCCGTACTCTTGCAAATTGCAAATAGAGTTTTCTACTATTTCTGTTCTGCATTTGCTTAATTCCTTGTGTAACAGCAAATAACTCTTGAGCCTACATGGTTACCGGTTTATGGTGTTCTTTCTCGTTGAAAGTACTCACATAAATATGTGGTTGTGAATTATGCATAATGTTCCGTGTTCGAATCCTGGAGGGATTATTTTTCATTACCTTTCCCCAAAAGTGATTTTCTCCCCTAAATTATGTTTTATCACGTCGATAAATCAAATTCAACATTCTATTCTCATGCATGGCTCTGGAGGATTTTTTTTAACATAGCACTATTCCGTTACCGAATGATGCATGCGCATTATATTCATTATCAGTGCCGTTCATAATGTACGTACGCACGAAATGCCGACTTTTTTTAAACCTCCCCATTTCAGAAGTCTGTTTATCGATTGTGTACTAGGTTTATGGAACTACAGGAGTACCAACTAGTTAGCGACATTTCAAACCGCTCGTGGATAGAAGCAGGGTTTTGATTTTTTTGTGGGATATTTTGTGGTAAAACGATGACGAAGATGTCAAAATGCAACACTGAATTAAAAATAGAAATCACCACGACGAACGTGAATGCTGAAATCCGAGTTTATTCACATGATAGGTAATATGCCTACACAAATCGAAAAAAAAAAATCAGCTATAGGTGGCAGTTGCAAAGAAACGATTTGGAGTGATAGACACACTCTTGACTCTTACTACGTAAATTTGACCACATTGCAACTTCAAAGGGACACTGCGGCCTGGAACAGCCCAATTGGGCTACAATTGGGATGGAGGTATATATCCCCCACACCCACTTTTTGACCGGGGATGGCCCCACACTTTTTCGTGTTGAGAAACCAGAAGTTTCTCAACATGAAGCAGGCGTAAGCAATGGAAGCTACAAAAAATCCATGAAAGAAGAGGGATTCTATCCATTTTGGCTGCTGAATATTCGCGCGTTCCTACCTTTGACATTATCACTCGGCAAATCAAAATTATTAAGGCCTAGGCCTATTCCATAGAATACTGTCTGAGAAGCGAAGGAAAAGAGACAACCGAAAGATGTTCCATACACATATGTTCTCATACGACATATAATTCGATGCCTGTCGTCAGTTTCCTCCCAAATCCCCATTCCCTGGCTGTCCCGCCTGGTTCCCATTCCTGCTGTCGGCCGAACCCTCGAGCTCCGACGGTCGAGTTTTTCGATTTCTCGTGTAGCGGGTTGATATGTCTTGGACGTGTCTCGTGTTGCAAGACTGTTGAGACTGGCGTCATGTACCGCTTTCTGCAGAGATAATCCGTTGTGCAGAGCCGAGCAGTGAGAAAAGAAAGGGTACAAGAGAAACAAAATTAACAATGGTATTAAAAACTTAAATAATAAAAATATGATTGAAAAACTGCTTTCAAATGACACAGCTTACGTTCACAAGCACTGGGAAAACAACTAGTCCGATTTGTTTACCAAAAAGTTTTCCAGATTCAAATTCTCCTCTTTAGAAAGTCTCGCCTCGTTGTCAGCATTTGTACAGACTACCAGACCGGCAACTAGGATAGAAATGATCAACACTTTCAGGCAGGGCCGTCCCATTATAGCTGCTAAAATTGCACGTTGTTTCTACGAACGTTGCTGGTATTTATAATGCAAACCAACAAGCTTCCTGAAATTTCACCCTCTAAAATGAAGAACCGCTGCCATTAAAGCGTACGTGTAATTTTGTCGTAAAAAAATATTTAAAGGAGACCGTGGAAAAAAAAACTTAATTGCTACTATTAAATTTTATCACTGCTCGGTCATGTGAATAATTATATGGCTTACGGATGCAATCCAGTCGTAGTACATGTATCACATTGATAAAAACACCGAAGACGAACTTACTGCGCTCTTATCATCCTTTACATTATCCAACATCATACCAAGAACTTTGCACTACAGTTAGCGAAAGGATAATAAGGAAAATGATTTGGGACGTTTACCCTTCCCTCCCTCCCCACAACATGGGAGGAGGGGGCACTGAGGGCGTAGCGGCTCATCTTCTGGAGGAGGCACTCAGTGCACTTTTGACAACAAATTCCATATTGCCTTCCCCCAATCTGAGTGCGGACACAAGGGGCGACAGCTAGGTGATCCCTTTGTGGGTCGATCAATTTCAGAGAAATGACTGATGTATTGCAAAATGAATGTGATTTGATGGAATGTCCTGAACATTTTCTTTATTTAATTATCCAATATCAGTCTGATATGATGTTGTTTCGCCTTTAACCAAGCATGTACGGGTTTTAAGGCAAAAGGATTCGATTTCAAGGCAACGAACCCTCCCCCACACCACCCCACGGTCCATCCAGTAAGCTTTGGTCATTTAAAAAAAAAAGGGATAGAAAAAAGGTAACTCCTCAATTCAATTCAATTCAATTCAGTTCTCTGGTTTATTTGATTAAAAAGACATCACCATCAGTAAAAAGTCAACGATTTAAATAATTTGGTTAACAAAAATTGCGATAGAAATTACAAGTTTATAAATACCCCATTAAATATGAACACCCCAGAATTCACATTAAGTTCAATTTAAAGATTACTCAAACAATAGAAAGTGAGATGAAGACATTGTTTAAAAATGGGGTAGGCCTGCATGCACATGTATTTAAAGAGGGAGATAATGATAGATGCAAGAGGGGCAACAGAAATGAGGGTGTATGAAGGGAACTACACTGACATGAGGGATTGAAATCCGATTAACCTGAATTCAGCATCTGTACCATTGATGGTACTGGTGAGTTTTTGTGTATCTTTGGGTTCTTATTCGTAGGTTTTCTAGTTGCCGTGTGTTTCTTAAAGTATGCTCTGACAAATAAACAGATTTCCGTTCTGGTGGTAGGAGGTGGCGGTGCCTATATTGGAAATAAGCACGGACTTTTGCAAATTTCAGAACCAGGTGTTCACGTCTTTCGTACAAAGACTTAATTTTAAACAAATCCATGAGGTCGCCTGATGGAATAAGATATAAGGATAAGCAATTATACCTAATGCCCTGTAAATATTCTGAGCTTGGATTTCCGTAACTCTGAGCTTGGATTTCCTGTTGGTATTTTTTTTTTGCACCCGGAAAGACCGAGCGACCGCGAACATTTCAATGAAAAACGTATTTGGAAAACACCGACTGGTACTACGGAGCTCATTTGCGCATCGGCGGTGTAGCATATTCTACTCCTGGTGTTCGTACGGTAATGTGTATTGGTATCGAAGGTGAAGCTTTTTCCTGCCAGGTTGGCCGCCATTAGACGTGCGTCGTGTCGCTGGTCTGCCTACGTCAGACGTCTCTCGTGTCGCAAACTTTTTGATACTTTGCGTCATTAACCGCTTTCTGCATCAGAGAAAAATCCGTTGTGCAGAATAATGGTAAACGGGCAGTAGCCTATAGCGCAGCGGAGGAAAGAAGTGGTACAAAAAACTAAAAAGGAAACGACGGTGATATCAAAACTGAAATACATGTTTAAAAAACTGTAGTTTTGAACGGAAACAAATCGCAAAGACATAGGTTTCGCACAAAAAAGAAGAAATTATTGATTTGTTTACCACGAAGTTTTTCAGAGTCAATTTCTCTTCTTTGGAAAGTCTCGCGTCGTTACCAGCATCTGTGCAGACCACCAGACCGGTGACTAGGCTAGAAATGATCACCACTTTCAGGCAGGGCCGTCCCATTATAGCCGCTTAATTTGCACGTTGTTTCTACGATCGTTGCAGATGTTTATTTATGCAAAAAACGATAGCGAGCTTCCCAAAATTCTGATCGCCCATTGACATATTTAACCATCTACCATTGAAACGTAAAGGTAATTTTATGCTAATATCAAACGAAGACCGTGCAAATATACTGAATTTCTGCTATTAAATTTGATCACTGGAGGGTCATCTGAATAATTGTATGGTTAATTGGTGGGTTCAACCCGGTCGTAATATTAGAGATTAAGAATAACAACGAAGACGCACACTGCTCTCTTTATCATCGTTTTGGGTGGTTGAAATGTCTTGTGAATGAATAAGTATACTTATTCAATAACATTATGCAGGTACAACGCATACTGTTTACAATTTAAGCAATGGCGTCACAGAAGTCCAATTTTCAGGAGGGTGGGGGGGGGGGCACCAAGGGGCCTTTTCTGTATGCAGTTAACAGCATCTAAATCTCAAGTCAGGGCTGCCTATGTTTATTCCTATTCCCGCTGTTGGCTGATTTTTTTCCAGGTCTTTGACTTAAATGTTCACGTTGGCGGCCATTAGACGTCTCTTGTGCAAGTTGTGCGGCAGGTTGGTTGTCATTAGACGTCTCCCGTGCCACAGGCGACCATTAGACTTGTCTCTTGCTGCATGTTGGTTATCGTTAGGCCTAGACGTCTCTCCTGCCGCAGGATGGTTGTCGTTAGACGTCTCTCGTGCGGCAGGTTGGTAGACGGCATTCTGATAAAGTAAAAGCAAATGAAGAAATAGGAAAATAGATGTGCATTTTTTTAAGGAAACATCTACAAAACCGTGTATTCTTTTTTTTGCTAAGCCGCTAATGGACAGCAGACGCGAACACAGCCATGGAAACATGACATGTACTTTGCTTGTGTTTAATTTATAGCATCATTGAACAAGAAATGGTAGTCTGATATATCTATGCTGATCATCTGCAGATTACTGAACACTTAATAGTAGGTACAAAATAGTATATGACGTTGTAGGTTCCTCCTTCGAAGAAAAATTAACTTAATAGCAAACAAGAAAATCAGCGGTGGTTTCTTTGCTTTGCTTTGTTTTTGCTGGACACGGACAAAAAGGCATACAGTTTAGATGTGACATTTCTGTAAGAAATAATTAAGGGCCACAGGCCAAAGTTTAGAGGACAACTTTAGAGAACACTCTCAAGGTTTTGGACCTGCTGATATTACATGTAAAGGACCCCTGTGATATATTGTGTATAAAATCTTTGCAAATCCACCTTCGTGTCACATTTAACTTTATGTTTTCAATCAGCATGGCCATTTTCAAGAGTGATTTGGTGCATTATGGCATATTTAATGCTATTGCAAATGTCCACGCTATGAGCCAAACTGTTGACAAAAATCTTAGTATCACAATAACTTCAATACCAAAAGTTGCCACAAATGACGGTGGATATGTGTTTGTACAAAAGGTTCAGTACATGACACTTAGCCAATGCTCAATTTGTTTTCATTAGCAAATTGTTATTGGGTTCAAAATCCCAACCAAAAATCCACGATATGAATGAAATTTGAAGCGTTTCAGATTCACGCTTACCTCGTGCGAAATGCCATCGTTGTATATGTCGTCGTCAGCATCCGTACCGACTGCCAGACCGGCAACCACGAAGCAAACGATCAGAATTTTCAGGCAGGGCCGTCCCATCGCCATCTTGGTCACCGCTTTAATTTTCAGTCGGTCCTTTCAATAATGCGGCCAACCTATGCAAGATTCCACAACAAAGGTGAACGTATTCGTTCTCAAATTCGTGGTGTCTCTCCAACTATTATGCAGAAAGTGAATAAATCCGATTTCCAAAGGGATTTATATTACGGAGGCGTTTTGAGATGAACTTAGATAAATTAAAATATAATATTTAAGGGAATTAACGGTTATCGTTTGAAGGTCATCGGAATATTAGAGTGAGTTCAATGATACATAAAGTACGTGAACTGGCATGATGATGAAATGCACAATAAGGATTGCAATGGCAGTCAAATTTGCCTCCTGCTTCGAATCATGGTCTAAATCGGCTGTAATTTTGAGGCTGTGATATACTTTCTTTTCATTCTTTTTTTTTCTCGCACACTGTCACAGACAAAATGAATGAAGTCTGAAGTTAGAATTACTTAGCTCAACTGTGCCAAAAGAAGAAGAACAATAATTCACTGGAACTAACCAAAATATTATATTCACTAGCGAGATGCCGCGCTTCGTGAATCTTAAAAATAATTAGTGCGCCCACACAGACAGACAGACGACAGACTGACCATCCGACTGACCGACCGACCACCAAGTGACATTTAGAAGCTCCTGTCAGAGATTAAAACTAATTATCAAACGTACACAGTAAATCATAAGTTCAAGAAGTCGGATCAATTCCGATCAGAACAGAACAGAATAAAAATCTCTTCTCTCGAAAAAAAAAACAACAACAAAAAAACAAGGCAATGTCAGTGAATCTGTACCGGCCCAATTTGGTCTGAGGGGTCTAATTCTCAAGTGACAGCGCGACATTAAGTTAGTGACATAGATACAAAGATGACACTAGATCGTACACAGGGACAAGCCATAACACAAGACACGTACAGCAGTCATGCGCTGGGTATTTTTTGTTTAATTTTTTAAAATGTTCCTGTTGATAATTGAACTTCTTAACTCGGAATTCAGCACTCCATATGTAGGAGCGTGTGATGACAGAGCATAATAAAAACATTTATTTCTAGACAATTAAATTGCAAATGAGTTCATAAGGTTTACGATTACATAAACAAAAGCGTATGGTAGGTATACGTTAACAAGAGTTCTACATTCTGTCATCTGTCAATGTTTTTTTTAAAGGTTTATGAAGGGAATAATGACTTGGCCAGCTTTAAACAAGTCCGTTTCAAACCGGTTGGGGAATGGACGCCGATAATAGCTCCAGCCCAAGGCGAGGGACATTATCGGCAACCAGGTCCCGAGCTGGTTTTAAACGAACTTGTTTAATACTGACAAAGCATAGGCTATGCACATGTATTCCGTTCATAAGCACTTTTGGATCAAAAAGTCAAAACAAGTCAACAAAATATAAATTACTAGCAATTTTGTTCAACAGTTTTGCAATTATGATCTTTCTAATTTTTCATCTACTCTCTACTCTCTACTTTGCTATACTTGTTTTAAATCTACAACTTGTTTACTGCTTAATTATAACTCTTACCCCGGGTGAGGCTTGAATGTAGCAACGTTTGTGAGTGGACTGGGCGGCGGCGGTGAAAAAAATGATTCTGTCAAGCAGAATATGCAAATAATTCCGTTTTGTTGATATTCGTCCAGAGAGTGATTTTCTTTGTTAATGGACCATTTTCTTCAAAATTGTGTCAGGTTATGTTTGAACATGCACCAAGAGGTGCTTTAGAGTCATTGACAAATATCTAGTACCAAGCTACCCAAATCGAGGGAGCTACCCAAATCGAGGGAGCTATTTGCCCAGAGCATGGTTCCATGACGAAGCTTTTATTGTTTATTACAACTGATACCTTGCAAGATTTAAAAAAAAATGTTTGATGTCATCTTATTTTCTTGAGAATTTCCCATTGGTCAATGTCGAAAAACTACGAGCTACAAACATGAATACAGTTTACAGAATAAGTTGGGCACCGAGTTGCAAAAAGAATTCAGTTGACGTTTGAAAAGAAAAAAGTTAGACAAAGGGTCTATTTTTGCTGATATCTCAAGATGCAGTTATCAACACCCCTATCCCCATCTCAAGTCAGGGTTGCCCGTGTTTATTTCTTTTCCTGCTGTCGGCCGATTCTTTCCAGGTCTTTGACTTAAAGGTTCACGTTGGCGGCCATTAGACGTCTCTCGTGCCGCAGGTTGATTGTCATTAGACGTCTTTCGTGCCGCAGGATGGTTGTCGTTAGACGTCTCTCGTGCGGCAGGTTGGTAGACGGCATTCTGAAAAAGTAAAAGCAAATGAAGAAATGGGGAAATAGTTGTGTATTTTTTTTAAGGAAACATCTACCAAAACGTGTATCTTTTTTTGCTAAGCCGCTAATGACAGCGTTTCAGATTCACGCTTACCTCGTGTAAAATGCCATCGTTGTATATGTCGTCGTCAGCATCCGTACCGACTGCCAGACCGGCAACCACGAAGCATACGATCAGAATTTTCAGGCAGGGTCGTCCCATCGCCATCTTGGGAACCGCTTTAATTTTCAGTCGGACCTTTCAATAATGCGGCCAACCAATGCAAGATTCCACCACAAAGGTGAACGTATTCGTTCTCAAATTCGTGGTGTGTGTCCAACTATATTATGCAGAAAGTGAATAAATCCGATTTCCAAAGGGATTTATATTACGGAGGCGTTTTGAGATGAACTTAGATAAATTAAAATATAATATTTAAGGGAATTAACGGTTATCGTTTGAAGGTCATCGGAATATTAGAGTGAGTTCAATGATACATAAAGTACGTGAACTGGCATGATGATGAAATGCACAATAAGGATTGCAATGGCAGTCAAATTTGCCTCCTGCTTCGAATCATGGTCCAAATCGGCTGTAATTTTGAGGCTGTGATATACTTTCTTTTCATTCTTTTTTTTTCTCGCACATTGTCACAGACAAAATGAATGAAGTCTGAAGTTAGAATTACTTAGCTCAACTGTGCCAAAAGAAGAAGAACAATAATTCACTGGAACTAACCAAAATATTATATTCACTAGCAGGATGCCGCGCTTCGTGCGTCACCCGCCAGCAGGGTGAATCTTAATAATGATCAGTGCGCCCTCAATTGACATATATTTTTTTTGAGAAGGGTTCATTATGCAGTCAGGTTTTGAAATGCATATTCATACCTCACGAATTCGGACGTGAAACTGGACATATCTCGTGCCGTTTGGTGCCTGTCTTCCGACATCTCTCGTGGCGAAGGTTGGTTGGAAATTGCGCCATGAACTGCTCCCTGTGAAAAGGGGCCACAAAGTTTGAACCATAAAGTTACTTGAGATATCAATAGGACCAAGGAGCTGTGTCCAATTCCTCGGTATTTTCCGTGTGAAAACTGTATGGGATATATCTAAGCAAATTACCAACGACGGGGAGTAAAAGAGGGCAATATTGGAGGTCCTCGGTAGTGCCAATCAGTCATGTATGTGCATTCATAGAAGTACCCCACAGTTTGTATTCGTTTTACGCTGAAGAACAAAACAAAAGAGGACCTGGGCCCAATTCTTCGGAAGTTTTCGTGTACAAATCCCATGTATAAGTCTAAAGTCTAAAGGATTGAATCATATAAGGCAACCAGGGTCCTCGGTAGAAATGGTCACGCCCTATCAGTTGCTCAGCTGCAGCGCCATGCTGTAAACCAGCTTGTATGTGTATCAAAAGATTCTCCAGCCTGAGTTTTATTTGAAAACATTTGTTGTTTGATGTTGATTTTCCGTATTTCAAAATTCCACAATTCAAAACTAAACGATTTATTTACTTGGAGGTTTCTTCGATTCACGTTTTCCTCGAAAAAAAAAAGGACCATGGTTGTTGTCAGCATCAGAACAGACTACCAGACCGGCAGCTAGGAGGACAACAATCACAAATTTCAGGCTGTGCGGTCCCATCGTGGCCGAGTCCGGGCCTGGAACAACCTCAACGCCATTGTCATCCTGATTATGCATGGTCTCATGGTCTTGATTGTTTTATATTGACTGAGCTCATTTGTATTTAAATATAATGAAACTGCCATGATAATTTCACCTTCCAATCCATTCTGCTGGTACTCATTTGATTGTTCATACTATTGTTGTAGGAATATCAGGGCAGATCACTTAGAAACAGGAAGAGTCCAGTGTCGTATCCAATGGGGGCAGAGGGGGCATTCTGCTCCCCCCCCCGGCTGATTTTTGTCACAAATTTTTTGTTCAGCAATTATTTCCATAAACCGTTAAAGAGTTGTAACATCAATCCCCAAAACGAAACCCCCCTCAAAGCATTACAATGCGCCGTAAAAATGGATAAATAATTTGCAGTATGTATAATAATGGACATTTTTGAAGAGCGCCCCCATTTGGAAAATGCGCCCCCCCCCCCCCCCGGCTTGTCTACATTTCGGCGCGGATTTGCGGTTGCCCACTGACATCCAAAGCTGGATACGATACTGGAAGAGTCGAACGAGTGTATCCAAAAGCGAGCATGTCCCCTTTTTGGAAAGCATGTTCAATTTTTTTTGATGTTTTTAATTAAAACCCTAACCCTCTAGGCCCTCTGGCTAGGATGCAACTTCAATCCTGCAAAATCCTCCAATTGCTACCAAGAAAAATTGGATTCAGCCTCAATCCTCCAAAATCATCCGTTATTTCTTGAATTTAGTCTGTGGAGGGTGACCACTGCCTCAAAAATCCTCCAAAATCCTCTGCCAATTACTGCTATGGTTTGAGACAGTGCGACTGGCGTTTAGAAGCAGTGCGGATGAAATACGAGAAAAACACAGGGCTGATTTATGCATGACTGAACATAACCAATGCAGGATATGGCCTATTGGCTTGACGTAATGCATCCTCCACAAAAAAAGCGATACATTTTTGCCATTCATCCTCAATCCTCTAAAATCATCCAAAACCGGCAGGAGGATTGAGGAGCGTTAGGGTTAATGTACCTTTGACCGCCATTCAGATTTTGGCAGCTATGGTCAAATGATAATAAACCATTCCGAATAATACAAATACAAATTCAGTCCGTGAAAGTGATGGTAACATAGTTCCGAATGGAACAATGACAGAAAGCTTGAGAAGAAATAAACCACAGCCCAACCACGTGTACAGGCAGGGGATAACCTAAACTCACTGGTCATCCTGATTATGCATATTCTAATGTCAGTTAATTGTTTTAGGGTCACTGAGGTCACTTTGTATTCGAGCAATAAAATTTCATTCCCATCGTAAGGTCATCTTTAAAGCCTCCATACTACTAATCGCTTTTTGGACGGCCGCCTCAACAGTCCCATTCTGTAAACCGCTATACAGACATTGCGAATTTGAAAATATACACGCTTTCCAAATTGAAAACAACTAACAATTTGATCGGCCATGATGGGACGGCCCTGGTTGGAAGGTCTGATCGTTTTCCTCCTGGTTGCCCGTCTGTCAGTCTGTTCTGATACTGACAACAATCGTAGGCTTTCTCCCGAGGAAAACGTGAATCTAAAAAATCGCCAAGTAAGTTATTCATTTGCTTTGAATCGTGGGAACAAGGGGTATTGGAATGGACGGGTTAGATAATTTTATCCAAAACAGTTTTTACACGGAACTTGCCGAGAAATAAAAAAAAACAGCTCCTTTGGGCCCTATTGATATCTCACGTAAGTTAATGGTTCAAACTATTTGTCCCCTTTTCACAGGCGGCAGTTCATGGCGCAATTTCCAGCCAACCTTCGCCACGAGAGATGTCCGAGTCGGAAGACAAGCACCAACAGGCACGAGATATGTCCAGTGACAAGCATCACGACAACAAACGTCAAGGGCACCCACCGAAGGAAAGAGATGGTCATGGTGCATACCTCCCAGCTGTTGATGATATATTACAAATTCAATACGACGGTCTTTTAACAGGGTCGGCAATTCCTAGCTGATATAACTTTTCTTTCCTAATTGACTTGACTTAGTGGAACGTGTTTCCAGATACATGAGTAATATATAAGTGTCATCGCAATCATTAAGAGTTTCCACATGCAGGCCATACTGTAAACCAGTGTTATTAATTCATCTCCGTACTAGTATTGGTACTCATCTTATGGCAGTACTACTACTCGTAATTTATGGCCAGTAATGAAAAGAAATACTCACAGCATTGTATTCTGACAGAATACTCAACCCTCTTCAACATATAATACGCTTTCATAATTATATGCAGCCGCTTTGTTTTTCTTCCAATTGATAACAATTACAAAGCTTACGGAGTGATTTGCAATGTATTCGTCTGAAATAAAATGTGCTTAAATACTACTGTAGCACTAAACGCTTAAGGTGCTGGGTTCTGAGATAAGCAGGTTAATTATTAAAAAAAAAGGATATTAAATAATGATGAACTGTAAACTAGCTGTCGTCTTTTTTTTTTAACTGAAAGAATCCTATTTTGGAGGGGGGGGGGGGGGGGCGAGCCGAACCAATACTAAAAGGGGCCGAGCCGAACCGATGCTAACCGAGGCGAATCGCGAGATAAACCGAACGAACTAAATGTATTCCATCAGGACATAACTTCATAACTTCCTTGCCAATATGATTATGGTCTTTTCGCCAGTTCATCCTAACTTGTCTAATTCAAGCTATCCATTTATAACCTCACACGTCCCTTTTTCCGTCCATGTGACAATGGTGGTAACTATTAACGGCCATGATGATGGGAAGTCCTTGCCTGAAATTTCTGATCATTTTCCTCCTGGTTGCCGGTCTGGTAGTCTGTTCTGATACTGACAACGGCCCTGGGCTTTCTCCCGAGATAACTTGAATCTAAGAACCCTCCAATTAAATAAATCATTTCTTTCGGAATTGTGGGAGATTGGGGGTTCGCTGGATTGGGTTTGCCTCGGGGACATCAACATCTAACGACAAAAGTTTGCAAATAAAACTCTGGAGAATCGTTCGATAACTGGTTTGATCAAGTTATTAAACGAAAACTGCATCTGAGCAACTAATAGGGTTAAACCTTCACATGACTGAACACATGTTAAATCCATGTTACTACCGAGGACCTGGACTGGATGCCCTCTGTGATTGAATCCACTCAGCACTTTCTACTCGGGGTTTGTACACGAAAACGTCCGAGGACTTGGGCTGAGGTCCTCTTGTGTTTTGTTCCTCAAGGTAACAGGCAGAAAAAAAGCTGCTTGTATGTATGCACACACAGGACCAAACATCTAATAAGCACCGAATCAGTCTGATCTACCGAGGACCTCCAATGTTGTCCTCTTTCATTCTGTCGTTTGGACCTTTCTTTGATATTATCCCAAAGAGTTATTACACGAAAAATACCGAGGACTTGGGCAATACAACATGACAACAAACGTCAAAGCCGCTTGCCAGAAGAAATGATACGGTGGTGGGGCCGCGCCACACATCACATGAAAGTGTTTCGAATAATATTTTGCTTTTCAAAATTGGGTTGCTTAGCAATTGTGACCATTGAAAAAAGAAATACAACTTGTCAAGGAATATATTGCATTCTGAAAGAAAAGGCAACCCTCATTAACAAAATAAAGAATCTCATTCAATAAATGAGACCAAAAAAATCATCATTAGAAAAAAAAACAACCGACGTTTAATTTCTTACAATAATCACTGTTTGGTCCAGGGACCTAAAATCCTAAAAGGCCACAGGGTCCAAGCTCCGAATCGGTGTTTCGAATTGCATTTCTTAGAAATATGCGATGAGATTGAACACGAAAGTCGCTCAAGTTTGCAATGGGGCGAAGGGATCCTTTTCAAAATGGCAACGGGCTGCGGGACTACTTTAAGGAGTGATCATATTTGTAGGGAATATCCCCCAATGACCATCAGGCGATTGCAAAAAATGGAACTGTGCGAAAGGGGGGGGGTAGGCTTAATCAAGTGTTCATTGGATTATTTCTGGGAGTATTCCTCTCTTTAAGTGAGAGTATTAATGTTTGGTTTCTATGGCAATGTATTTACTGATCTGCACCCTCATGGGCGTAAATCCAGGAGGGCGGGGTGGGAGGATATATCCCCCTTATTTTGCCCGGGGGCATTGGATCATCCCTCAGATATTTGTGTTGAGAAACTTAAAAAAATGGCAATTTTGAGGTTATCTTGTGTAACTTTCCAACGGTCCAAATTTATAAATAATTCTTTTAATAAAATTGCAATTTTTTTTTTTAAAAGGAAACAGTACAAAAGTCAATGTTCAGTAGGTAAAGGGACGTTATCGCGCAAGTTTGTAATTCATGAACATTTCTACAATGGACATTGTCACGTGTTGTCCAGCCATTCTCTCCCCCTCCCCCAACCCGGCTTTTCGAATTTTCACGGCCGGGGCAATTTTGAGATTTTGCCGTACGGTCATCCGCAGGGGCGTAAATCCGGGGTATATGTCTCCCAACTTTTTGACCAGGGGGATGGGATATTCGATCAACCCCCACTTTTTCGTGGAGAGAAACAAAAAAGGCTGATTTGGAGGTATTTGGTAACTTCCCAACAACCAAAATGTTTTTAATAGTACTGCAAAAAGGGAGACAATTAAAGTACAAAAGCTTTAAATGCGCCGTTTTGTTGTAGGGATATGGGGCGTAAAGTAAAACATGAACAGCGCCATCTAACGTAGTGGTGTCCAGCAAGCCCCCCTCCCCCCTCCCTGCTTTTCGAATTTTCACGGCCGGGTAAACTTTGGATATTGGTAACCCCCCCCCCCCCACCACCACCGGTTCCCGGCACAGATTTACGCCACTGGTCCACCCATGACCCCAACTATAGCGAGCACGGATTTATGCCTCAATGGGAGCGGAACGTAAGTATTAGAGAAACGCAACACTTATTATCGGGAAAGTTGCTTTCGAAGTCAAAACAAACCAACAGCAAAAAAGACACTCACACGACTATGTTCACGACCATTATGTCCGTTTGGTCGATTAGGTCCGACAACACATTTTGACGAGCAATGCCCGATTATGTCCGACCCATTGTGTCCGACGGCCGATTATGTCCGACCCATTGTGTCCGACGGCGATTATGTCCGACCCATTGTGTCCGACGGCCGATTATGTCCGACCCATTGTGTCCGACGGCCAAGTATGTCCGACCAATTGTGTCCGACGTCCGATTATGTCCGACCCATTGTGTCCGACGGCCGATTATGTCCGACCCATTATGTCCGACGGCCGATTATGTCCGACCTATTGTGTCCGACGGCCGTTTATGTCCGACCCATTGTGTCCGACGGCCGATCGAGGATTTTGCTTAAATTTCATGTAGGTCTACATTGCTGATAATGTAGAAGACAAATCTTAACTTTACCCCATAATGTGACAATGCGGCCGTATTTTAATAGAAACACTCATTCATAAAAGTAAGATTGGATTTGAACAGAATTGGATACCAGGAATCTGATTTTCCCTGACCCAATTTTGTCCGGTAAACTCTGCACTGAAAGTTTGCTGTCATAACATTTTGGCGTCCTATGAAATCTGATTTATTTCATCCTCTATTTTGGGCTCTAATTACTCTAACATGTGACTTTTTAATGTCCTTATTTTGTTTTGCACTCTATGAAGAAATCTCTTCATAGAGTGCAATTGCCTCACTGAGTGCAATTGCGACACTTATCGGAATCAGGACCCTGTTAATGTTATAAAGGGCGGTGGGTGAAAGTGAAAAAAAAATCCAGTGAAGCACCGCTCGAATGAGGGCGCCCTATCCCCAGGGCGTGCTAAGGACTGCATTGACCAGAGGCAAGCTTTTTCTATACCACAGAGTCGGTTCTACACGTGGATGATTGTTGCGTATGGGGCAATACATGTACATGCAATAATATAATGAATATAACAACTCAGTGGAAGGAGTCACTGATGTAGTCTAATGGATACTATATGAACAGTCATTGGTTTTCATTTCATTCATTGTTTAATTTCTTTCCCTTAATTTTTTTTTTACAGCAATTTAGGGCATTTTTCTACGCGCCGTGAAAACTGAACTTTTCCCATATACGTCGTGTACACAGAGCACAATTACCATACGTTCTATTAGCCATAATTCCAAAACCCTTTAACCTTTAGTCATGAAATTTCTTGAAATGTTGTCCAGTAAACTCTGAAAGTTTGCTGTTATAATATTTTGGAGTTAGTGACTTTTTAATGTCCTTATTATGTTTTGCACTTTATGAAGGAATCTCTATTTCCACACTGAGTGCGATTGCAACACGGAATCAGGACCCTGTTAACCCTAAAAGGGCCGGGGGGGGGGTGGAAATTCGCCTTGAATTTTTTTTCCGCGACCCGAGCTGTTTATGAATTTTTAAGCTCGAGCCTTGCGCATCTGTTGATACCAAAAACATGAAAATAGCTTACGCGCAGTGAAAACTTAACTTTCCCATATACGTCGTGTACACAGAGCACAATTACCATTCGTATACATGAATAGTTAATTAGCCATTATTCCCTAACCCTTGAACCTATAGTCATGAAATTTCTTGGGTATGTTTATGATGAGTTGCTCTATGCATGTACCGAGTTTCAAAAAATTTCGTCACTGCTCGTAAACTGCTCAGCCAAGCGGCACCGCTAAACCACCTCTGGTCTCCATCAAACACAAACGGCTCTTTTCAGAGCCATCACCTCTTCCAAAAAGAGATTTGTTCATTGTGTTTACCATTTATTATAAATAATAATAATTATTATTATTATCATAATAACCATGACTAGGGAAACCATTAGTTCCTTCCACAAAGGGAAAACTAAGAATTAAAGCCAAACGATTTGCCCACTCATGCTCAAATCCCCATCGGCTGTCCCAAGCTAACCAACGGAAAGAATTAGCACACCAAAATGAACAATTTACCGAAAAAATAGCTTGAAGTAAAAGATTAAACTTTGTTCCCAACTCGGCTATACCAACCCGTCTCCCACTTATCTGAGAACGACAATACCTTTGACATCCTAATGTCACTCTTGGATGTACCAATCTCATCCAAATGATGTTATTAGTGTCACATATCAGATAAATTTTGACGGAACATTTTCTTCCAAGTGAGTTCCTTTTAACTCACTGACCCATACCTACGGATTCTTTTGAATCCAGCGGCTGATAAGTCCCCGAAGGGACGAAAACGCATTCCCGCTATTGCCCTCAGGTAAAACCTAACCTACCCCACTGCCTGGGTAAACTTGGCTACGGTCGAAACTTCCCTTGTTTTCTCCCTCTTATTTCTACCCAATTTTTGAGACCCCTTTCATGCGTCTCAATTGAAGAAATAAACCACACAATATGACACCATCGAATAACTCAATGTGTTGTTCTTACGCACATTTTTTATTCACAAGCCAATCTATAGAAGAG